CTTTCTACGCTGAGTAGCTAATTTTTTTGTTTTGTAAACTGAATTATGAAAGTAATGTTCTTAAAATATTCCAAAAATTTCCTTTTACAACAAAAATTAATTCTCCATTACTCTTTTTGATCAAGTCTATGTTGATCAGTTAATTTGTCTATTTTGTACTTCCTTGGCTGAAAACTTTTTTCCTTCCTATTTCATGCAAATAACACACATAGATAGATATCAGATAGATAGATAGATTAGATTGATAGATGTAGATAGATAGTTACCATTGTTAAATACAACATCTGACTTTTTAAGATAGTATATATTAACTAGTTTCATGATTGGAATGCATAACTCTGATGAAAATAGCAACTATATAGTTATACAATTTTAAAATTAATAATGTTATTCACATTCTTTTTGACATAGATACTACTGAAAAATTCAAGCTTACAAAGCATAGTGTATCAGGCTACAATTGTTGGGAGAGATGCTATTGACTTCTCTTTGGCTCAGAAAGGAAATGTTGTAACAGTTCCTCCACAGTGAGTATTTTTCATAAAATATTGCTTTACTGAATATATCAGACACAGAATTTTATATTTTTATAATTATAGAGAGTGACTTGAATATATCAAATATATGTACATATAAAATATATAATGAATATATGTAACATATAAAGAAATTCTCTGACAGTTAAGATACTTTGAAATATTCTTTATCAGTGTATGTTAACATTATATACTTATTATGTTTATTTTGGAGAATCAGTATAGATAGATAGGTAGATAGATAGATAGGTAGATAGATAGATAGATATTGCATTTTGATCATTTTTCAACCCCTACCTAACCATACCATCCCCCATTCTTCAGACCTCCTTTTTCATCTACACAAAATCTACCTCCGTTTCCTATTATCTGATTTATTTTGCTCTCTAAATTATTTATTTTGGAGGGTTGTCGGTATGGTTCCGCACACTAAGTGCTTGCTTAGGTAAGCACAAGGGTGCACTGAGCAGATGTTGGAGTCTGGACATGGTGGCACACACCTGTAATCCCAGCACTATGGAGGCAGAAATCAGGAGGATCACTACGAGTCCAAGCTGTGTAGTGAGACCCTGCAAAAAAAAAAAAAAAAAAACCTTGAAAAAAATTATTTTGGCTTTCTCATATAAGAGAAACCATGTGATGTCTGACCTTCTACATCTGATTTATTTTAAGTAGAATTATGATTTCAAGATCCAAACATTTCCCTAAAAATATCTCGAATTTATTCTTTATAACTGAGCAATACTTGATGTTATATATGTATATACTATATATATATATGTATATATATATTATGTATGCATATGTATATTAGATAGATAGATAGATAGATAGATAGATAGATAGATAGATAGATGAAATTTTCTTTATCTACTCTAAACTTGGTGGGCATATAGGCCATTTTTGTAATTTTGCTATACTGAGTTATACTGCTATAAACATGGGTACACATGGATCATACTAAAATGTGATGTCTTCAACTCTGGTAATATATCCAGAGGAGAAATAGGCTTGTTACATGGAATTTCTATCTTTAGTTTCCTGAAAAATCTGATTATACTAAAGATTGTAGTACTTTACATTCCTACCAACAATGTGGAAAGGTTTCTTTTACCCTTTTCAGAAATTGTGGTAATTTGAGTTCTTGAAAACAGCAATTCTTCCTGGAATAAGGTAGAATCTCTGTTCTTTCTAAATTAACTTTTCCAATGGCCAAAGATACTGAGAATTTTGATGTGCTTATTGTATGTGCTTCTTTTGAAAAGTGTTCATCTCATTGTACATTATTGATTGATTGGGTTTGGGGTGAGTTTTGTAATTAGTTTTTACTTCATTATGTGTTATAGATGTTAGTCCTCTGAGCAGCAGCTGGCAAAATATTTTCCCGTTCTATAAATTATATCTTCCCCAGTTGATTGGTTCCTTTGCTGTGTGGAAATTTTTGAATTTGATATAATCTTATTTGTTAGTTCATGATATTATTTAATGTGCCATTAAGGTACTGTTGAAGAAGTCTTTGCCTATATCTGATATAGATAAAAGTTATTTTTTTGAGATTCCTCACTATTTTTGTTAAAACAATTCTGACAATATCAATAGCTGTATTTCCGTATATGCATGATTTTCTTCATGTGCATGAGCTATAGGGATAAATTTATTAAGTTGTTCAACTGTGCAGTGTAGTTTTAACCACTGCCTTCAGTATTATAAGTATAATACCAGAAAAAAATTCTTTCTTCAGAGAACTTACCATTTTCTAAGGACATACATAGATTTTCTTTTACATATATATAAATGTGAAGATACAAATTCATTTTGGCATTTTCATCGAACTGTCTTCTTTGTTAGGGATGTGAAACCTTGAAGTCCATTCTCCACTTTTCTTTCTTTCTGTCTGTCTGTCTGTCTTTCTTTCTGTCGTTTTTTGTTTTTTTTTTCAGAAGTGGAAATTGAACTCAGGCCCTTGTGCTAGCAAGGGAAGCGCTTATTCCACTGAGGCATCTCCCCAACCTCTCCCCAATCTTATGTTGCTCACGAATCTAATAGACTATCCCAGTATTTCAAGGTTCACATTACATGGATATTATCTTATAATCATACTACTCTAATATTTTAGGTCAAAACCATTTTCTTGGGCCGGGGAGATAGCGCAGTAGAATAAGCGCTTGCCTGGCAAGCACAAGGGTCTGAGTTCAATTCCGGGTTCCACACACACGTGCACACACACACACACAAAAAAAAAAAAAAAAAAAAAAACCACAACATTTTCTCATTAAAACACAATGTGCATTATTTTTATTTTAAACATAAACTGGTTAATTGTAAAAAAAAATTGGGTAACAAAAATGAACAGAAGAAAAAAATACCTAGGATCATATAAACATATTCGGTTAGTTTATATCTTTTTAGTCATTTATATCTATTCTAAAATGGATACCCTAAATACTTAAACTGTAAAACTAATTATACATGAACATGTTTTCTGTTGAGTTGAAGAAATACTTGCTGTATATAAAATTCTATAACCATACATTTTATATATATATGTTATATCTTCCTAACACTCTAATATCATTACAAAGATATCACAAGAGTAAGATACACAAAATGATTAAACAAATTGCCAAATTTTTCCTGCTATTAAATGATGAAGCAAACATTTAAAATAAGCCAATATAAATCCAGAGGTGGTACTCTTATTAAACTGACACCTGCATATAGAGTGTTTATGTGTATGTATATGAATGTTTATCTGTTTAATACTTAATAAATAACTTCTGATTCAACGTAATATTAATTTTGTTACTTGTAAGCAATCCTAAAGTACCATGACATGCAATTGTGTCCTAAGCTATTTTGACTACTATCAAATATAATAGAACTGATAGATCATTTAAAAATGCATGTTATTTCCTATTTTTCTTAATAATAAGAAGGTTAGGATCACATACTGCCAGATTTGTTGTCTTGTGAATACCTACTTTCTGGATCTTAAAGCCTTCTTTTTTATTTTAAAGAAAGTAGAAAAATAATAGACTTTATAAATGATACACAATTTCGAAAGGAAACAAGATGGAAGGTATGCAACAGTGGTTGTTATATTGTACATGGTTGTCTTCAATGTAGTTGGTCAGATCACCAGATAGAAGCCTGTTATTTCGAGCCTTCTTGCTGTGTTCTTGTATACTAGAAAAGTGGAAACAGTTTCCAAGAATAAAAGGAATATCTTTTAAAAAGATACTAATCCTGTTTATGAGAACTCTAATCATCCAAAAGTCTCATGTACTAATATCATCACACTGATGATTTTTTCCAACCTTATTGAAGTAAATTTGCAACCAAACATCATATACATTAAATTAGGTGATATATTTTGATATCCATTTTGAAATAATTAGTACAGTACACTAATGGACATGTCCATCACTTTCTGTAGTTACTATGTGTGTGTAAGAATGATGGTGTAGAATTCTCACAAGTACTTTCTTAGCAAATATCAAGCAGAAAATACATTAATGGGGCTGGGGAGATAGCTCAGCAGTCTAGGTGCCTGTCTGGCAAACTCAAGGACACAGGTTTGACCCCTGCTGTCCCATACCATGCTGGCTCCCATGCCATGCCAGCCACTGAAACCAGGCATGGTGTCACATGCCTATAATCCTAGCACTGAGGAGGCTGAGACAAAAGGATCATTATAAGTCTGAACTGCATAGCAAGACACTAGGGCAAATAAAAAAAGACTTTTAAACATTAAATAAGATACATTATTGTTAATTATAGGCAGCATACTGAACACTAAGTCTTCTAAACTTACCCACCTTTCTTCTAAAGATTTGTATATTTTGACTAACAGCTTTCCATTTCCTACTGTCTCACTCAAAGTGTTTCCTTTTCGGTTGGGATCAGAGTATAAAACTTTCTCCCTTTTTAAGGAGTGCATGATATAATTGAGTGTTGATGAAGCTGGTGACAAAATTTTCTCATGTGTTCTGTGGACCACGTTCTTAAGGACCTAAGTGGTACCCACTATGTAACTAATAATGATTTGCTTTTATTGTTCCTACCTATCTCTGGATATCTTAGATATAATTGTCTCTCCAGCAATTAGTCTGTGAAGTAATTCTAAGGTTTTTTATTCCATCCACACATTTTTAACTGAACCATTGAAGCCTTCTCTGGACTATACTATTTTCTTGATCACTGTCTAATTGTTTTATTTATTTACTTACGATTATATTTTATTTGGCAGAACTGGGGATTGAACTCAGGCCCTTGAGCTTGCCAGGGAAACGCTTATTCTACTGAGCCATCTCCCTGGCCCTCTAATTGTTTTTTATGGGGAGAATGAAAGTTAAAAGTTGGTATTTCGTACTTTCTAATGCCATTCCTTGGATGATTATATGTATAACACATTTATTTAGAGGGGCACAAACATTGAAATTTAACATTTTTTATTGTTACTAGTACATGTTTGTAGGGCATATTGTTTACATTTGTTGTGGGGCATTAGTGTATGGATGCACTACCTCTTAATTATATTTCATTCTGCATGACTCCCATTGCCCCTGGCTCCTTCCATCTGTTGGGCACCTTCTCATTTGAAGAAGCTAATTTCCATTTTTTTCCTTTCTCTTGTTCCTCTTCCCATTTGAAAACAAAATCTCTATTTCCATATTGATCATTTTACAGATGTAGGTCTGGTTTATTTTATATTTGCTTACCTACACAGCCATTCAAATATATTTTCTCATTTCTTTAAATATCAATATTAATGTATTTTCCTAATTTTGGAATTCTGTTTACTTTTTTTTTTTCTTTTTCTTTTTGTTTTTTTTCTGTACTGGGGATTGAACTCAGGACCCTGCACTTGCCAGGCAGGTGCTCATTCTACTGAGCTATTTCCCCAGCCCTCTGCTTATCTTTTAATTAAATTGCTTAAATTATTTCTCTCTTCTGGAACTTTTCCGTAAAATTTCAAGGAAAGCTAAGCC